CGAGGACCAACTTGGTCGGGAGCCCCCTACCCAGGCTGCACTGAAGGTATTTGAGAGGCAGACACCCAGATCCAACAAAGTGGATCTATCCTGGGGACCAACAGCCTGAGAGCCTGCGGGGATGACAGCGATCCAGACTGAAGGCCTCAAGCAGAGTCATCCACGTATTTATTTGCTCTTTGACAGGTGAGTCTTATTAATACACAGGTGCTCTACATTTACACATAAGACTAGTAGGCAGCTGTTACCCACCTACCACTAATTACAAACTAAAAGGTATCCTCCACGGAGAAGCCAGACTCTTACCCAAGCACCTGCTCTAGGCCACCCCAGTGACAGCCTTCCTTTTTCCCTGTTTGTATGTGAAATAAGCGGGAATGCTCCAGGAGTATTAACTCAGGAACATGGTGACAATCACAGACCAATTGGTTATTGCAGTCAACAGATCCAGACGCAAGGGGGCACCCTCCTGGTTACCTCCTGGAAACACTATTCTGTTAGCTTTCTCGTACTCCGGCTTTCTGCCCCCACATCACTTTGAAGCGCTGTAACACCTTTTTTTTGTTTTTGAGACAGAGTCTTGCTCCTTTCACCCAGGCTGGAGTGCAGTGGTGCGATCTGTGCTCACCGCAACCCCTGCCTCCTGGGTTCAAGTGATTCTCCTGCCGCAGCCTCCGGAGTAGCTGGGACTACAGATGTGTGCTAATTTTTTGTATTTTTAGTAGAGATGAGATTTCATCATATTGGTCAGGCTGGTCTCAAACTCCTGATCTCAAGTGATCCACCTGTCTCGGTCTCCCAGAGTGCTGAGATTACAGGTGTGAGCCACTGCGCCAGCCCCTGTTGATCTCTCTTGCCCCTATGGCGACTCTCTCAATCCTCCGCTCCCGTTTGACAGTCATCTGGACAACTCTCCCTCTTTCCACTTGCAACTTCCAACCTCCCCAAGCGCTGAGCGCTCCAAGTAGTCTTCCTAATCCTCTCCCCGCTTTCTCTTAGTTGTTCATTCTGTAGATAAACATAACTTTTCTGCTTACTTTATGGTCACTTTTTTTTTTTTTTTTTGAGACTGAGTTTTGCTCTTGTTGCCCAAGCTGGAGGGCAATGGTGTGACGTCGGCTCACTGGCAACCTCCGCCTCCCGGGTTCAAGTGATTCTCCTCCCTCAGCCTCTCGAGTAGCTGGGATTACAGGCATGTGCCACCATGCCCAGCTAATTTTTTTGTATTTTGAGTAGAAATGGGGTTTCGCTGTGTTAGCCAGGCTGGTCTCGAACTCCTGACCTCAGGTGATCTGCCCGACTCAGCCTCCGAAAGTGCTGGAATTACAGGCATGAGCCACTGCCGCTGGCCTTATGGTCACTCCTTACAGCCACAGTAAGAAAGTCTGATGCCAACGCTGGCTGCTCTCTTCATTACGGGATTATACTGACTCGCCTCTAACCCCTGAGCTTCCTCTGGGAGTTACATGCCTGTTTCTGACTTCTTCACTACGTGGTGGTCTCTAACCTCCATCCTCTGCAGCCTCTATTGCAGGACCTCTGCACTGGCTGTTTCCTCTGCCTAGAAAGCTCTTCCACCAGACATCTGAATGGCTTACTTTCTCATGCCTTACGTGCTTTTGCTCAAGTATGATCTGATTTAAAGTTAAAATCACCCCACGACTGCTGCATGCTGCTAATCCTAGGCATTTTTCCTAAGCATTAATTTCCCTATGACATTACCACTATGTGACATACTATAAATATATCATAGTATATATTTTATTATTTACTTGTTTATTATAAAATGCATTAGGGAAAGAGTATTTATATTTTGTCTTTTTTAATTTTATTAATTTTTTTTAACAGAGCCTTGTTCTGTCACCCAGGCTGGAGTGCAGTGGCATGATCTTGCTCACTGCAACCTTCGCTTCCCAGGTTCAAGAGATTTTCATGCCTCAGCCTCCCAAGTAGCTGGGATTACAGATGCCTGCCACCATGCCTGGCTAATTTTTGTATTTTTAGTAGAGATGGGGGTTTCACCATGTTGGCCAGGCTGGCGTCAAACTCCTGACCTCAAGTGATCCACCCGCCTTGGCCTCTCAAAGTGCTGGGATTACAGGCGTGAGCCACCCTGCCTAGTTGGGAAAGGATTTTTGTCTGATTGTTCACTGCAGTGTCCCCAGGCCCAGGGAAGAAATCTGGAGCATTTAAGTGCCCAGAAATTATTTGCTAAATGAATCTCGATGTGGGATAAAGAAGAACAAGGCAGCTGGGTGTGGTGGCTCACATCTGTAATCCCAGCACTTTGGGAGGCTGAGGCCAGTGGATCACCTGAAGTCAGGAGTTCGAGACCAGTCTGACCAACATGGTGAAACCCCGTCTCTACTAAAAAATACAAAAATTAGGTAGGCACGGAGGTGCGCACCTGTAATCCCAGCTACTCGGGAGGCTGAGGCAGGAGAATAGCTTGAATCTGGGAGACGGAGGTTGCAGTCAGCTGAGATCGTGCCGTTGCACTGCAGTCTAGGGGAAAAGAGCAAGACTTCATCTAAAAAAAAAAAAAAAGAAGTACGAGGCATCAATAGGAGAGATGGATGTTGAAATATAGCAGAGATCAAGTAACAAGACTTGACTACTGAGCTGGCTGGGGATGAGTGAGGGAGATGGGAAGGCTTCTCCGTTGGGTTTCAGAATGGTGTCTTCAACCAGGACAGAACACATGTGAAGGTGCACCTAAAGGAAGATGCTAAGTTCAGTGTTAGATATCTGCAGGACAACCATGTAAAATTATGCATAACAGTGGGAATGCAGGGGAACAGAGAGGGAAACAGATGCACACACACTCAAACACAAGCATATGTATTATTATGTACACAACTCCATACACTTACAAACACATGCATGCATTATTGACAAAGTATGAAATTTGATGCTGTGTTTAAATTCCTGCATATTCCAAATGAAGGCTATGCAAATGAGAAAAAAATCCATGATTATTTTCACAATAAGAAAGACAAAAGTAACGTGACTCTCATCTTCCACTGTCTCTCTAGCCCCACTTCCCCTTTCTAAGGGAGAAGGATACTCCCTGATTCTGTCAGTTCCTATGTTCCCTCTCTCAGGGGAATACAAGAAATAGGCAAAATGTAGATAAAACTAAAGTAAGCAGAAAAGTTACGTTTATCTACATAATGGGCAGCTAAGAGAAAGCAGGGAGAGGATTAGAAAGACTGCTTGGAGCACTCAGCATTTGGGGAGGTTGGAAGTTGCAAGTGGAAAAGAGGGAGAATTGCAGAGATGGCTGTCAACGAAGGGTGGAGGATTGAGAGAGTCAGCCATAGGGGCAAAAGAGGTGAACGGGCTGGGCGTGGTGGCTCATACCTGTAATCCCAGCACTTTGGGAGGCTCAGCAGGTCACTTGAGGTCAAGAGCTCAAGACCAGCCTAGCCAACATGGTGAACCCTCATCTCTACTATAAATACAAAAAATTAGCCGGGTGTGGTGGTGGGTGCCTGTAATTCCAGGTACTTGAGAGGCTGAGGCAGGAGAATCACTTGAACCCAGGAGGCAGAGGTTGCAGTGAGCTGAGATCATGCCACTGCACTCCAGCCTGGGCAATGAGACTCTGTCTTATGTGAGAGAGAGAGAGAGAGAGAGCGCAAGAGCGAGAGGGAGAGGTGGGGGGGGGGGGGAGAGAGAGAGAGAGAGAGAGAGAGAGAGAGAGGAACAGAGTTGCTGTGCATTATCCTCCATTAGCATGTCCTCCTCCAGAACTAAAGTCTTAAGTTTCAGTCATCAGCCTGTATTTCTTTGCATATGTCACCATCTCAGGAACCCCATACATTCTCAGGTTATACACAGATTGCCTAAACCTTCCACACAATGCTGGCCTGGCATTGCTTTCAGCACGTGTGAAGGGATAGTCATCTTGCCCCATCCTATCGTGTGACTTCGTGTCTCATGTACACTAGATGCCAGATTTGTTAATAGAGGTCGACAGTGTTAAGACTTCCTTTCTTTTTTAGATGGAGTTTCACTCTTATTGCCCTGGCTGGAGTGCCATGGTGCGATCTCAGCTCACTGCAACCTCCACCTCCCAGGTTCAAGAAATTCTCCTGCCTCAGCCTCCCGAGTAGCTGGGATTACAGGCAAGCGCCACCACGCCTGACTAATTTTTTGTATTTTTAGTAGAGATGGGGTTTCACCATGTTGGCCAGGCTGGTTTCAAACTCCTGACCTCAGGTGATCCACTTGCCTTGGCCTCCCAAAGTGCTGGGATTACAGGCATGAGTCACCGTGCCCTGCCAGACAGTGCTAAGACTTTCTATTACTGTGTTCTAGTGAGGATGAAAGGGAAGAATTGTACCTGTTGTGTGTTCATAAGGGAAATATTTCTAGTATTTCACAACTAAAATGCCTAAATTAATCTGGAGCAGGAAAAAAATCCATCTCTCCAGTTCAGCAAGATGCAGCATTTTGAGCACTTGTTAATGGAATTTTCAGAAACAGAAGGGATGCTTGCCATTTTTCTGATGTCCTGGAGGATGTAACAAATGATGAACTTTATCAACCAGCTTCAAGATGAGGAATTTGAGACACTTGGTATCATCACAATTCACAGGTCATCAAAAAAGACAGGTTTAGATGACTCATTACACACACAAATACTCCCAGCTGTGAGGGTTAATTTCAGAAGCTGAATAATAACTGACATATTTGTGCAAATGTATATGTCAACCTCCCAGTTCCAAATGTCATCCCAGTTTTTAGAACAATAAAGTTCTTCCCAGTTGTAAATTTTGCCTAATTAAATATTTTATATTTTCACGATTGTCCTAGTTCTTTGACAGTCGGGGCCATTGTCTTAAGTTGTTGACAACCGCCTCATAAGGGGTATTCAAAATTACTTTCAAGTAAAATATTTATAAAGTTCACATCATGTTTATAAATTACTGCGTTGCCCCCAGTCCGCCTGCACAAGCCCTTGAAGCGCAATTTGGTCATCGCAGAATTTGGTTCCTATCGGCTTCCGTAGCGTCCCTAACGATTTCCGCTTCCGGCGGGCCACAAAGGTAGAAGAACTTCCGGCAGCGGCAGCTCCAGTGGCCAAGGCAAGATGGTGAGTGACTAAGGGTTTCTTTCCACTGGTGGTCGTGGTGCGATGGGGTCCCAGCGGCCTGAGGCGAGAGAACTAGGCGGCTGTCCGAGAAACTCGGACTGCTCTCTTCTTCTGCCGGCCTGGTCTTCTCGGCGCGTGGATGCTCCCGGAGAGAGCTCCCTGATGCTCAGGTCCACCGCGGGCCGAGGCCGACCTGCGGGCCTTGCCCGGGGGTCCTGGGTCCGGGGCTTGGCGCAGAGAGAGGGTTCCCCGCGTGGTCCTGTGGGGTGGCAGGACGAGTCAGGTCGCTGGCTTTGCTGCTCCTCGGACCCAGGGCTTTGCTGCTCCGCGGACCCAGGGCTTTGCTGCTCCGCGGACCAGGGCTTTGCTGATCGGCGCTGCGAATTTCCGGGGCGCTTCCTCGAGTCACCGGGACAAGTCGGGCAGGTGAAGGGTGCTGGAGAAGAGGATGGGATTCATTCCACCTGAGGAGGGGAGAGCGGAGTCGTGGAAGGCCTTTCGAGCTGGGGGCATTTGAAGGAGGCCTTAATGACGCTTGTTATGATAGGCGGAGCACAGACAGAAAGGGCCCGTGATGCAGTAGTAAAAATAAAAACAGCTAGCATTTATTCATCAATTCACTAAACAAGCATTTACTTAGCACTTGATGTTTTGTTATTGGTTTAACTTTTGACTAGCTTCTGTTCTAGACACTGAGGATACAGGGAGTGAGCAGGATTGATGAAGTCCCTGCCTTCATGGTGCTTGCATTCTAGAGCAGAAGGCAGACAATAATCAGAAATACGTAATATGATGTCAGGGGTTGAGTAGTCATCGTTGTATGGTTATTGTATAGAAAGGGATAGCATGGAGGGGTAACTGTTTTTGATAGTGTCCATGAAGGTTGCTCTGAGGAGGTGAAATTTGAGCAGACTGAAATTGAAGGAGTAACCTTTGCAGATGTCTGAGGGAAACGTGGTCCAGGCGGAAGATACAGCAAGTGCAAAGGACCTGGGATGGGAATGTTCAACCTGTTATCATGAACAGCAAGAAGGCCAGATCTCATAGAGGTGTTATAAGGGTTTCAGGGTAGTATTCTAAGCATGTGCCAAGTATTTTTCCAGCATTTTCTCATTTATTACAACAGTTCCCTCGAGGTAATTACTATTGTCCTCATTTTGATAAGGAAGAAACGGGAACACAGTAAGTGGCTGTGCTGGATCACAGACCCCATCAGTTTCTTCTAGGGCAGTAGAGAAACGCCCAGGTTGTGGCAACCAGCAAACCTGAGTGTGACTCGTGGCTCTGTCTCTTACAGGCTTTGTGACAACAGGCCTTTAAGACAACAGTCATTTAACCTCTCTGGACCTTGGTCGTCTTATCTGCAAATGAGGGCGTAATGATAGTACCAATGTCATGGTGTTTGTAAGAATTAAGTGGGATAATACTTGGAGAACGTTTAGGACACTGCTTGGCATATAGGAGGGGCTCAGTAATTGGTGTACTTGTTATTTGAGATTGAGAAACATGTAAAATGCCTAATAGATGAACTGTTGGTGTATTAGTTTAGAGGTGCCTGTGTGGAGCTGATTTGAGGAAGCTTAAGTGGGCCCTTCTAATTAGTAAGTTTACTTATCTTCATATTTGAAATGTCACTATTTCTGAGACATTGCAGTGTTACGCATTGCGCTGTAACTGAAGGGTCTCTCAAAATCAGGAATCCTACTGAGTTTATTAATACACTAAGTTCTTCACACCTTAATGATTGCGCCATTGCACTCCAGCCTGGGCAACAAGAGTGAAGCACCTCTTTTAAGGTGATACAGCTTTTCAGATTGAGAAGACCTGCACGAAAGCCCCCAGGCTTTAGGGGTAGGAATTAAAGTGCTATTGGAAGGAAAGTCTTCTGGATCTTGGTGTTATCTAAGTAAGGGGTAAATGGTTGATGATTTTTGAGTGTGTAAAATGACTTAGCTTTTATAGCTATGTATTTTATGGAATATATTCTTGATGGCTTCAGTCTGGTAGTTTTCTATCAAAAAATGTGAAGCGGCCAGGCTTGGTGGCTCACACATGTAATCCCAGCACTTTGGGAGGCCGAGGTGGACGGATTGCCTGAGGTTGGGAGTTCAAGACCAGCCCGACCAACATGGAGAAACCCTGTCTCTAGTAAAAATACAAAATTAGGCGTGGTGGCGCTTGCCTGTAATCCCAGCTACTCGGGAGGCTGAGGCAGGAGAATTGCTTGAACCCGGGAGGCGGAGGTTGTAGTGAGCTGAGATCGTGCCATGGCACTCCAGCCTGGGTAACTAGAATGAAGCTCCTTATTTTCCCCTCAAGAGGGGGTGATCTTAAGACTCTCGGCCTCTTTGGTTATATCTACTTCTCAGTAGAGTTGTTCTTGATTCTAAGATGCAATCAATTGCCAGGTGCACCAGTAATCTACTAAACGTCTTTTCAGGGAAAAAGAAATTCTGTGACACTAAATGCACATATTGATTGCAAGTATTACATCTTGGGTTCAGAAATGTTAAAATGAGGGGGAAATGTTCATGTTATAGACTCACAGGACAGTATGAAGGCGTTCTTTTGAAGTGATCATATTCTGAATTTACATCTGTGTCTGATTTTTCTCCCCAAGGGTCAAAGTCAGAGTGGTGGTCATGGTCCTGGAGGTGGCAAGAAGGATGACAAGGTAAATAAGCCACACTTGTACTGTGATGGAAGCTACGTGTGGGAAATATCATAGGTCTTGGCCGAGAACTTCTGTGGGGATTCATGAATTTTAAAAAGCAGAATGATCCAGTTGTTTTTAAACTAGCCTGTCGTACAGATAACAATAAATATGCTTTTCATGCTTAGAAAAGGTTATTGACCTAACCATCACATAGATATTTATGAGTTATTTAAGTATGTAAAAGCAATGACATTACAGAAGTATTAAATTGCCTATAATTTTGGTGTCCTGAGGTGTGAAGTTCAGGTTACATAAACTTTTGGAATACAACTTCTTAATCCTCTATACCTTATTGGAATAATACGACTCATTGTCACTTAATGTGTATGGTAAAAAGATTACATTTACTTATTATAATCATATTTACTTATTACAATTCCAGGAATGTGAAACAAGTCAGGTTTTTAATAACATCCTAAAAGATGAGGAAAATTGTGGCACCTGAAAATACATGATGGTGGTACAGAAATAAATTTGTGTTTTAATGTGATTTTCATGTGATTTTTTTTTTTCTGCTGTTCTAAAATCTCAAGGACAAGAAAAAGAAATATGAACCTCCTGTACCAACTAGAGTGGGGAAAAAGAAGAAGAAAACAAAGGGACCAGATGCTGCCAGCAAATTGCCACTGGGTAATGACATGGCTCCTCCTTGCCATCTTTCCAGTTCTTAGGAGGAACCATCTCTGCGCATGTAGCTTAGAGCATGGAAGGGGAAATAAGAAGTAGAGGGGCAACTGAAGCTCTCGCTTTGTGAATCAGTTCCACCTAACTCTTGAGTGTGGCATTCCTCTAGGTTGGCATGCAGGTTAACTTTTGTTTTAAAATACAGTATTATATGACTGTGTCTCACTTTAAGAAATGCCACTGTTTTTCTCTAACTGGCTGTTCTAGTGGATTAAAAGTATAGTTTTAACCTGGGGGGCTAAGGCGGGAGAATCGCTTGAACCCAGGAGGCAGAGGTTGCAGTGGGCCAAGATTGTGCCACTGCCCTCCAGCCTGGGTGACAGGGGGGACTGTCGCAAAATAAATAAATTTAAAAAAAATAAATAAAAGTATAGTTTTAAATTACAGAACCCAGGTTGAACTTTATTAACTCAGGTTCCTATTTATTTCATGAAATGAAATGCCACTGTATTGAAATTCAGATCATGCAATGCCTGAAGTTATAATAAAATTTTTCAATGGCTTCCTGCTGAACATAGAATAAAATTCAAACCAGGTAACCTGACCCAGCACACCTCTGACCTGAGCCCTGCCATTCCCCCTTGCTCATTGATCACACTGCCTGCCTTATGTTTTTTTGACTTTTGTATGTATTAGGGCCTTTGCCCTTACTCATCCCCCTGCTTAAAATATTCTTTCTTCTCATGGCTGCCTGCTTCTCATCATCCCTCAGGCTTCAGCTCAAATACCTCCCCAAACCCTCATCTAAATATGCTCCTCCCTGCTTAGAAGGAAAAAGCAGTAATTTAAACCACTTTTTAAAATGTTGTTCAGTTAATTGAAGGGTATCAGATAGTAAAACCAGCCATTAGTCCACCATAATGAATCAGTATGGTATTGGTACAGAAAGAGACAGGCCACCAGAACAGAGTAGGAAGTTCAAAAACAGTCATGTTACATGGATATTTAATACACACTGAATGTACCACTTCAGGTCTGTGGGGAATAGGATGGGTTATTTAATATAAGGGACATGTCAAAAATTTTTGTCCAAAGAAAATGAAATTAGATTCTCAGGTCTTGCCAAATGGATTACAGGTATACATGTGAAAATAAATTGAAAATTCAGAAATTTACATTAGGGAAGAAGAATGTTTTTGAAGTGGAAAAACCCAGAAACCATAAGAGAAAAGGTTGACAGATTTGTCTCTAAAAATGATATTGGCCTGAGACTTAGAAACAAAGCCAAAAGAAACAATATGTGGAAAAAATATTTGCCATATATGCGATAAAGAGGGTTAATATTCCTGATATTTCAGAATTCTACAAATAGATGGACATGTATACAGCCAGCATGCAACAGTGTATACTGACTGAGCAACATGTAGCTTTTTATTAGAACCTATAGGAAAAAATAAACCAGACCCGGGTATCTCTTTTCTTCTTTAAATATACAAACTATTCAGTGTATGTGATTTGGGGCTAGCTCTTTGGTTATAAGCCCCATCCGCATTTTCAAAGACTTGATTATATAACAGCCAAACTCCCCTTTCCATTTGGCACCTGCTTACTTAGGATTACCAAACTGAATTTTTCTGAAGTTCTCTCCAACAAAAACAAGCTTATTTTAAAATCTTAGTATTTTTTCCTTACTTGCAAACCTCAGGCTCCACATATAATAAAACTTTATAATTTCAGTGACACCTCACACTCAGTGCCGGCTAAAATTACTGAAATTAGAGAGAATTAAAGACTACCTTCTCATGGAGGAAGAATTCATTAGAAATCAGGAACAAATGAAACCATTAGAAGAAAAGCAAGAGGTAAGTTGAAAAGTTACTATAATTTTCTTTGTTACAAATTGAATTCTATTTAGAACCTAAAATTGTCAACAAATAAATGAAATTCAAGTAATTGAACTTGTCCAGGCTTTTAGGAAGCATTATTAGCTACCTTTCACAAGCATCAACTGCTTTGTAAATCTAGCGAACTATCAGGGTCATCTACTTTTGGGTCTAGTGTGCTTTTTTTTCTTTCTTTCAGTCTTCTCCTTACACAGTAGTCTGCTTTTTTCCCTTGGTATTTTCATATATAGGAGGAAAGATCAAAAGTGGATGATCTGAGGGGCACCCCGATGTCAGTAGGAACCTTGGAAGAGATCATCGATGACAATCATGCTATCGTGTCTACATCTGTGGGCTCAGAACACTACGTCAGCATTCTGTCATTTGTAGACAAGGATCTGCTGGAACCTGGCTGCTCAGTCCTGCTCAACCACAAGGTGAGGTGATGTCTCTAAAGCCCACAGGAGTGCGTTCTTTTTTCGCTTAGATCCGTCTTCCTGTCCCATGGAAGTAGATCACCAAAGCACTCCTGAGGAGAAAGATGCCGTGATTGGCATTGTTTTGCTGTAAACAGATCGAGTGAACCTCGCATTCCTGTGTTAAACTGTGATGTTTCCTGTTAGGTGCATGCCGTGATAGGGGTGCTGATGGATGACACGGATCCCCTGGTCACAGTGATGAAGGTGGAAAAGGCCCCCCAGGAGACCTATGCCGATATTGGGGGCCTGGACAACCAAATTCAGGAAATTAAGGTATGATTGGCAACCATCTCTGGGTTTTTTTGAGTTTTGGTTTCTGGTGTCCCATTTAGGGTACTCTGGAGTTATTTTATATGTTTGTTTGTTTGCTTATTAATCAAACCAGTAGCTGAGTCAGACCTTGCCTGTTGTGGTATTTTTGTATTTGTTAATACTGAGTTAGGTAATGGAAATAATCAATTGTGTGATAGCTCCTGCAGCAGCGGCAGCTTCATACTTTTTATATGTAGTGGTGAATGAATTGTCTGTGTGAATATGTAATGTTTCTAACTGTGTTGACTTCAGTTGTGTTTACCTGGAAACCTCCAGTGCTTTGTGGAGACAGCATGTGTACTTGCACCCATTTAGACAGTGGTGAGGTCTGGAGCATAATCCCAGTGCCTTCAGTGACCCTGGGGATTGCAGGGGATATGGTCATTGAGGATGGCCCTGGGCTCTCTGCATGTTCTTTCATAGGGAAGTCACTCTGAGCCATCACAGATATCTGCCAGGGACCTCTGAGGCAGCTGAGAAATAGTAATAATGTCCCTAGGTGGGAACAGCCATCAGGAATTCTTTCCCAGTCCTATCTGTAGTTTAATTGAAAAGGGTGAATTTTAGCTTTCTTTAGTCTGTCTTGCTCAAGAAGAGCTCAAGACTGACTTCTAGTAAGAAGTAAAAGGGAAATTGGGGGCAATTAGGAAAATAGAGTGGGTGCAGGGAACTCAAGTAGGGCAGGTGTCATCTTCAGTTTGTCTTTGCTGCTCATAGAAAGCAAGCACATTGCCTCTAAGAAGAGTAATCGAGATTTCTACCTATTTTTGTTGAAAGCAAGATATTCTCGTGTTGCCAATTAATAAGTCTGCCAATAATTTCAGTAAAGCCTTTCATTTATACTGAGTATTTTTCATAGGAATCTGTGGAGCTTCCTCTCACCCACCCTGAATATTATGAAGAGATGGGTATAAAGCCTCCTAAGGGGGTCATTCTCTATGGTCCACCTGGCACAGGTATGCTCTGTTTTTGACACTTTCCAGGCACCCAACTGGTCTCTTGAGCAGCAACATTGGCTAGTTATAATTAGTGAACTGTTAAGTGAGGACACCACAATTCCTCAGTTTAAAACAGGGCTGCTCAACCTTGTCTGCACATTGGAATCACCTTGGGAGCTTTAAAAATACACACATAAAATAAAAATAAAACCTGAGCAGCTTGGTGAAACCCCGTCTCTATAAAAAATTAGCTGGGCGTAGCGGTACATGCCTGTAGTCCCAGCTGTCCTAGAGGCTGAGGTGGGAGGATCACTTGAGCCCTGGAGGTCAAGGCGTCAGTGAGCCATAATCACACCACTGCATTCCAGCCTGGGCAACAGAGTGAGATCGTGTCTGAAAAAAAAAAAGAAAGAAAAAAACTGATACCTGGCCCCATCCCCATAGAGTTTGATCTTTTCATCTGGAGTATGGTCAAGCCTTGGAGCCATAGTGGAGAAATACTACTTTAAAAGCTCTATTCTGAGTGTGGTGGCTCATGCCTATAATTCCAGCACTTTGGGAGGTTGAGGTGGGTGGATGACTTGAGGCCAGGAGTTTGAGACCAGCCTAGCCAACGGTGAAACCCCATCTCTACTAAAAATCCAAAAATTAGCCGGATGTGGTAGTGCACATCTGTAGTTCCAGCTACCCGGCAGACTGAGGCACGAAAACCACATGAACCTGAGAGGCGGAGGTTGCTGTGAGCTGAGATTGTGCCACTGCACTCCAGCTTGCGTGACAGAGTGAGACTGCCTCCAAAAAAAAGCCCTCTTCTGTGGTATCAGATTCATTTGGTAGAGCTCAGGACCTGGAAGTTCACTGCTGTGCAAATTCCAGAGGAAGCACAGTCATTTGAGAGAACTGACAGTGTTCCTAAGAGGATCCGTGCTGAGGGGTGCCCACAATGGAGAGACGGGGAGATGCCTGTACCCAGAGGCCAAGAGCTAGAAGAGATCTGTCTCTTACAGCCCCTCATCTTACAGCTTAGGAAATTATGTTTCAGAGCAGGCGGTGACTAGCCCAAGGCCCCTCTGGGAGTTGAGCTGGTAACAGGGCTGGAGCCGGAACACAGGCTTCCTGTGGGGCTCCAGTACTAACGGGGTCACAGTACAGGGCTGGGAGGCAGGACTGGACAGACAGGTCCATCAGAGGAGTGGGCAGTTTGTTCAGTGATCCCACTGACCATAGAAGCAGCCCAGTGGCTAGACTTGGCTGCTTCTGTACTGTAAGATCCTATCCACTGAAAAGGTCCTGTTTTCTGTTCACCTTCCCTCACTGATGCTTTCAGGGAGCAGTCCAGCCTTCTCATCAGCTACTCTCTACCAGTCTGACTAAAAGGAACATCATTGCCTCATGTGGCAAAGCTGAGCTTTGTGTCAGCCATCCAGTTCTGGGAAGTGTTCCCTGTCACTCACCAGCTAGCCGATTCTACACTCCTCCTGTGCTGGCGTCAGGCTGCCAGTTCTGCCCCTAACTACCTCTGTATCCTGAGGCACCTATCCAGCCCTTGCCAAGATTTTCTCTCACCATCAAAGGGACCCAGGTCTTCCAACTCAAAAATTCTCAAGTTGGACACTCTTTGCTGACTCTTGTTTTTGACCTGAAAGAGAAATATCAGCGAGTAGAGCAGTATTGGAAATATTTGACCTCTTCCCTGAGATCAGTGGGAGGAACTTCCCTTGGAAGCTGTTATCATGTGTCTCCTTAGGACCAAAGCTAGGATTCCCAGACATTTTTTCCAGCACTGATGGTTTTGTAGGAGTTTAGTTTGGCTCTCCAACCCTGAGTTAGATGGATCAGGTTAATGTACACAACTTTGAAGGAGCCCAAGAAAGGCTTACCTAGAGGAAAAAATGAGATTTATTTCATTGCTGGTACAGAGAAATTCTTCGTAGAGTAATTATAGTTCGCAGTTCTTCAGGGGAAACTGGGTCAAGGTTTGAAAATAACCAAGTAAAAAAAGTATTTTCTCATGTATCATGATGAGTTTAGTAAAGTAGCTTAGGATAATCCAAACATGTTAGTAGATGTTTCTAAGTTTCCTCTTATCTACTTAATGGAATGGAATGACATCTGCATTGATGGCATGCCTTTTCAGCATGGGGCCCCGCCTGTTTTTGGTGTCCATTTAAGGTGGTAATGCTATGAGTTTTTAAGTTAAAACAGCACTTGAGGTGTCTTTTTCCTTTTTTTCATCTAAAATAGGCAAAACCTTATTAGCCAAAGCAGTAGCAAACCAAACCTCAGCCACTTTCTTGAGAGTGGTTGGCTCTGAACTTATTCAGAAGTACCTAGGTGATGGGCCCAAACTCGTGCGGGAACTGTTTCGAGTTGCTGAAGAACATGCACCGTCCATCGTGTTTATTGATGAAATTGATGCCATTGGGACAAAAAGGTAGACTTTCTCATACTTATTTTGCCTTGTTGAATGACAGCACCGCCTAGTTCTTCTCTTGAGAATTAATGATCTCAGGGCCCTCCCTGTGGCCACAGTTCTTGCCGTGCGTGGCCTTCTGTGGATGCTTTAGGCTCTGCTCTCCCAGGAGCCAGGTAACAACTGCCCAGGAACTGTGAATGTCTGGAGATTGGTCAGTTGTGAATAATCATGTCTTGAGCACCCACTCTGAGCCAGGACCATCGACCCCAGGGCCACAGTTGTCAGCACAATAGTCCCTGCTCTGGAGGAGCTTACAGTCAAGTTGTAGGGATCAGATGCCAAACATAGAAACAACACATGATCCAATTTCAGGCACAGAAACTGCTATGAAAATGTATGATCTGTAACTTGGCTGATGAGGAGTGTCTTAGTCCATTTGTGCTGCTGTAACAAAATACCTTAGGACTGGTATTTTGTATAAAGAATAGAAATTTATTTCCCACAGTTCTGGGGGCTAAGAAGTCCAAGATCAAGGCACTGGCATTGATGTCTGGTGGGGGCTGCTCTCTGCTTCTGAGATGGCACCTGTTCTGCAGAGGGGACAAATGCTTGGGGCAAAAAGGGCCCATGCTAGTTCCCTGCAGCCTTTTTGTAAGGAATACATGCCTTACAAGAAGGCCTTTATCCCTTTTGATAAGGAACACATGCTGTCCAAGGCTCTGTCTCATGCCTTTCCCCTTTTCCAGGTCGTCTCATCTCTTAATAACCACCCAGTAGGGATTAAATTTCAACACACAAATTTGGGGAAATACATTCAGACCATGGCAAGGGGTGCTGAATTTATTTTTTTCCAAGAATAATTGAGGGAGTGCCATGTGAGTTGAAACAGGAATGTCTGTTAAGGTGTTTTGTCATATAATGAGGTCTTTGCTGTAATTCCTCTTTAGCAGGCAATGAGTTTGGTCTTCATTCCTTCCCTTTTTTCCCCAAAGATACGACTCAAATTCTGGTGGTGAGAGAGAAATTCAGCGAACAATGTTGGAACTGTTGAACCAACTGGATGGATTTGATTCTAGGGGAGATGTGAAAGTTATCATGGCCACAAACCGAATAGAAACTTTGGATCCAGCACTTATCAGACCAGGTTAAATTTGCTTTTGTTTCATCATGGGGAATTAATGTGTTTGTATATTTGTGTTTAAGTGTACTTTGGGAGGACTCTAAAATGATACATGAAAAAACAAATACTGCAGTGAAACTTAAGATAATTTACCAAAAATAGGTCTCATTGAGATGAGAGTTAAAGCATGATATAGTCTGTGCACTTCAGCCCTTTGAATTCCAGTCTTACATCTAGATCTTTTATTTTCCATTATATTCCCTCTTTAGCTTCAAGAATTTGCTTTTTCTGGAAGAAATAATTCTTGTGATAGTTGGATTTGTTCTTTTTACATTCAGGTAGCATCAGAAGAAACTGATTTGTTTGCTATCTTTTGTAATGTTTTTAACAAGATAAATCTGTCCTTTTTCACTGAATATGCCATTCAGGAATTGCTCCTTTCATTTATTTCTGAAGGTACCAAAGCAGAGAGGGTTTCTTTTAAATGAAGAGAATTCAAATGTAGAAATTTACAAACTACAAAAATGTATGTTCACTTTTAAAATTTGGGCATCCTTCCCACAGAATACAGTCTGACTGAAACTTCACATGTGAGATGGGCTGAGGCCTCTTTCTGAGCCATGGCAGAGCCTGGGTCTGGGTGGTGGTGTGACTTTAAAACTTTTTGTACCTACAGGCCGCATTGACAGGAAGATCGAGTTCCCCCTACCTGATGAAAAGACTAAGAAGCGCATCTTTCAGATTCACACAAGCAGGATGACGCTAGCTGATGATGTAACCCTGGACGACTTGATCATGGCTAAAGATGACCTCTCTGGTGCTGACATCAAGGTAAGAGCCTAACCGTGTTCAGCTCATTTCTGGGAATGTGGCCATCATTGCTCTTGGGATGGTGGTTGGCCTGGACAAGTGGGTGTCTGTATTTTAATCATCATATTGGTTTACCATTATATCCAAATGGTATATGTGCTTATTTGAAGTCATTTTTAATGCATTATTTTATGCAGTAAATGACCCTAACTGTAGCCACAAGGCTGAGTCACTGGTATAAAGCTGCCTCCTCCACAGGCGCAGGTAACTTTCTCAAGGTATGTCAAATGTAGCTACTCAGCCCCAGGTCAGGGGAAGAGTGTATCCTGGGAGAACTCTCCCCAGAGCTGCAGAGTGGGGACCCAGCACCCACTATACCTGTGTCCCAGTTTGTGTTCTGGAAGGTTGTACCAGATTATACTTCTTGGTTTTATGACAAATATACATGAGTTAGGACATCTCTTCTCAGCTGACAAGAATTTATAGCAAGTCCTGGCAGCGTTGAATATGAGTTGAAGAAGAGCTGGGTTTTCATGGGGCCTGAGTGCCATGGTTAGGTAGGGACAGCACAGGCAGTGCCTTTCCAAGCCAGCACCTGCCCTGACTGAGCCCACAGATCACTGGCAGCCAGTTCTAGAGAACTACGTTAATATCTCTGTTGGTGAATAAAATCTATCTTCTTTTTTGAAAACTTAAAGATCTTAAAATTTTATTTTTAAGATAACATTGAAAATTTAAGATAAAAACTTAATGAAAGGCCAGGCGCGGTGGCTCAAGCCTGTAATCCCAGCACTTTGGGAGGCCGAGGCAGGTGGATCACGAGGTCAAGAGATCGAGACCATCCTAGTCAACATGGTGAAACCCCGTCTTTAAAAAAAAAAAAATAGAAAATAAATTAAAAAAAACTTAATGAAAAACTTTTGAAAATTTTCAAGCCTTCAGAAAAGTTGCAATAATAGCACAGTGATTTGCCAGTAGTTAACATTTACCCATTTGCTTTCTCTTTCTCATTTTGAGACGGAGTCTCACTCTGTCACCAGGCTGGAGTGCAGTGGTACAATGTTGGCTAACTGCAACCTCTGCCTCCCAGGTTCAAGTGATTTTCCTGTCTCAGCCTCCTGAGTAGCTGGGACTACAGGTGCACGCCACCACACCCAGCTACTTTTTTACTTTTAGTAGAGACGAGGTTTCACCATGTTGGCCAGGCTGGTCTCGAACTCCTGACCTCATGATCTGCCCACCTCGGCCTCCCAAAGTGCTGGGATTACAGGCGTGAGCCACCGTGTGCTGCCTGCTCATCTTTCTATACACAAAATTTTCTTTTCACCCGAACCATTTTAAGTAAATGACCTGATGCCCATAACCAAACAAACTTTTGTGCCAGGATTGTGTTTTTGCCACAGTACGTACTTCCAAAAGTAAAAGAAAACAATGACAATAACCCATGTAACATGTTCATTTGCTGTCCTCTATTTCTTTCATTTCTCTTACCTTTCTAAACAGATGAGACCTAAAACGAAAACATGTAACATGGGTTATTGTTTTCTTTTACATTGGGCAAGTAATTACTGAGAAATTAATAGACCAGAATAAACACTGTAGTATTATTCTATAGTGTAGACACTGCCACTTAAACAGTTTCTAACCAGAATACATGTTCTTTTATGACTATAGGTAAATGAAATACACACTCTCAATTGCCTCTAAGTTTCAGGACATAATTTCATTTATTTCCTAGGAATATTATTTTCTTTAAAGAAAGTGGTGCTGTAAGAATTTCCTGACCTGCCAAGCCACGTAGCTTGTTAGAACCTGAGCCAAAACTGGAACCCACAGCCCTGATCCTTGGGCCAGTCTTAGTTACAGTAACTTCCAGTTTAAGCCACTTCACATCCTTTCAGAAAATAGGATGCTTAAAACATTTTTTTTTTAAAATCAAATGTTTCCTAAATAAGCAATTTGTGTTCATTCTGGGTGTCTCATGCTTTCTTTCAGAATAGCTTTTTTGAGATGAGTTTTGTTCTTGTTGCCCAGGCTGGCGTGCAGTGGCATGATCTCGGCTCACTGCAACCTCTGCCTTCCCAGTTCAAGTGATTCTCCTGCCTCAGCTTCCCAAGTAGCTGGGATTATAGGCTCCTGCCACTGCACCCAGCTAATTTTTTGTATTTTTAGTAGAGACAGGGTTTCACCATGTTGGCCAGGCTGGTCTCAAACTCCTGACCTCAGGCAATTTGTCCACCTTGGCCTTCCAAAGTGCTGGGATTACAAGTGTGAGCTACTGTGCCTGGCCCCGGAATAGGTTTTCCTGAATTCCTTGTTAGAATAAAAAGTATTTCACTTGCTGGGCACAGTGGCTCAAGCCTGTAATCCCAGCACTGTGGGAGGCCGAGGCGGGTGGATCACGAGGTCAAGAGATCGAGACCATCCTGGTCAACATGGTGAAACCCCGTCTCTACTAAAAATACAAAAAATTAGCTGGGCATGGTGGCGCGTGCCTGTAATCCCAGCGACTCAGGAGGCTGGGGCAGGAGAATTGCCTGAACCTGGGAGGCGGAGGTTGCGGTGAGCCGAGATCGCGCCATTGCACTCCAGCCTGACAGCCTGGGTAACAAGAGCGAAACTCTGCCTTAAAAAAATTTCACTTTCTGAATACACTGTTCTTTCTTACAGGCAATCTGTACAGAAGCTGGTCTGATGGCCTTAAGAGAACGTAGAATGAAAGTAACAAATGAAGACTTCAAAAAATCTAAAGAAAATGTTCTTTATAAGAAACAGGAAGGGACCCCTGAGGGGCTCTATCTCTAGTGAACCACAGCTGCCAGCAGGAAAATGGGAGATTTCTCCATCCCTGAAAGGGATGAGGTCGGGGTAACGGAATCCCTGTTCCCATTGGTTTTTATTAGCAAAACATCCTGTGTCTTTTGGAGTACGATGTGTAAGTGCCCATTGGGTGGCCTTCGTCTGTCAGTCACCGTGCAGCAGTCTGCTTCTCAATAAAGTGTGCTCTTTCACAAACACTGGCAGCAGCATGTGGGTGCACCCAGCTGCAGGGAAGCCTCCGGGCAGGAACCTTAGGCTGCGTTCACAAGGAGTGTGGACCTCACTACGCATTCCCCGCATCACACCCCAGAGCCGGTGTTCAGTAATTCCGGGGTGGGAGAGAACTGATCACAGCCACAGAGCCAGGGATATTCACTGTTCAAATAATAAAGGCTGAGTTAATGTGTCTGGTGCTTCCAAAAAGACGGAAGAACAGCTTTCCTTTTCGGAAGTTCTCTGGACCATGCGGGTTCTCAGCACTCTGAGGGCAGATAATAACTACTGGTGTTCCCAAGAGACTAAGGATTCCTAGAGCTATCCTGAAAGCCCTTGTTCTTGGGCTCAGAAACCTCATCCCTTCCAAGGTGTTCAGAAACATGTTGGAACTTCCCCTTCCCTTTCTCCATGTGTTTCCTTCATTTCTCTTTCCTTTCTGAACAAATCAGGCCTAAAGCTATTAAGTGGGGCAGATCAAGCTAAGTATTCCCTTGACAGCTGGCCTGGCTTGGGTTGTAGGGGCCCACACTGAGTCAGGAGGGTGTATTAATTTTCTGTTAACACCTTAACAAGCTACCGCAGGCCTTGTTTAAAAACAGCACAATTTGGCCAGTCGCGGTGGCTCACTCCTGTAATCCCAGCACTTTGGGAGGCCAAGGAGTGTAAATCATGAGGTCAAGAGATCGAGACCATCCTGGCCAACATGGTGAAACATCGTCTCTACTAAAAATAACAAAAATTACCTGGGGGTGGTGACGCACACCTATAGGTCCCAGCGACTCGGGAGGCTGAGGCAGGAGAATCGCTTGAACCCAGAAGTCAGAGGTTGGAGTGAGCTGAGATTATGCCACTGCACTCCAGCCTGGGTGACAGAGCAGACTCGGTCTTTAAAAAAAAAAAAAAACAAACACAATTTTATCTCAGTTCTGTAGGTCAGAAGTCCAACACAATGTCTCCAGACTAAAGTCAAGGTGTTAGCAGGATTGTTCTTTCTGGTGGCTCTAAGGGAGAATCCGTTTTCTGAGGGTTGTTGGCAGAATTTAGTTTCTTGGAGTTGTGGGGCCGAAGTCAGCATTTCCTTGCTGGCTGCCAGCGGAGGCCTTTGCCAGTGTGTGAAGGCTACCCTCCCCTGCTCCCTCCCTCCTGGCCCGTGGCCCCTCATCTTCCAGCAGCAGCAGGCTCAGTCCCTCTCTCCAACTGGTCATTCTTTCTGACTTTTCTACTCTTACAGACCCTTGTGATTACATTGGACCCACGCAAATAATCCAGGGTAATCTCCCAATTTTAAAGTTTATCTTAATTTTAACTCCCAATTTTAAAGTTTACTATCTTAATTTTTATCCGCAAAGTTCCTTTTGCTATGGAACATTCACAGGTTCCAGGGCTTAGGGTGTGGCCATCTTTAGGGGGCCACTGTGCCTACCACTGAGGACATCACACATGGGGGTGGCCCAGTGCAGGGTGAGGGCAGGGTACGCGTCAGTCCGAGCAGGGTGTGCAGCTGTCTGTGTGGAGGGGTGCCACAGCATGGGGACTCAGCATGGGTAAAGTGAGGCTGGCATCGTGTGGGGCGTGCATGCAGGGCTGGGGTGGTCCGATGCAGGGAGTCGGTGTGGGCAGCCTGATGTGCAGTATGAGAGCCCAAGTGGGTGAGGAAGACATCTGCAGGGGCGGGATGGTGCGGGAGGGAGGCTGCTTATGTAAGGAGGCAGTCTAGGAGGTGAACAGGACGGTGGAACAGGTTTCTCTGAGGAGTTAGATACAGAAAGGACAAAAATGAGACCAACCTCTGTCCACCGGGAGTGCACCCGCCTAGACCCAGACCTTTGCTTCCAAGTATTCTCCACTAAAAGGAGTGAGGGCTGATTCCAGGACCAGGCAGGGAAAGGACAAGATGAACCCAAAGTCTGTTTTGCTGGAAAGCAAAGGCATGCTCAAGGAATGAGGGACATGTCTAGAGGACACAGAAGCCTGTGTGAAGGGGCTCCCACTGCCAAATCTGGAAGAGTCTGAGCATCCAAACAGTTAACTATCAATAGAATACAGTAAAGCCCTTTAGGGAACTACACATATACCGATACATAGGAATTGATCTGGAAGTTTGCTGAGGAAGGGGTATCTACAGATTTTGAGAGTCCCCCACAAAACACTTCCACTGTATGTCACACGGGAGAAGCACAGCAGACACCATCATCAGCAAGTGGTCAAAATGCACATCAGTGATGGGCACCTTGAAAGTATGTGCCACCCAAGGGTGTCACTGCTGTCACACCTGCCGAAGATGCTTAGCCTGAATCCAGTCATGAAAAAACACCAGGTAAACACAAACTGAGGAACATTCTTCAAATTCAGAACACTTCAAAAGTGTCCACGACCTGAAAGTCAAAAAGCTTCCAGTCAGGAGACCGAAGAGATGACAACCAAATGCAGCTCATGATCCTGAACTGGAGCCTTTTCCTAGGGGACATGACCGGGGCCGCAGGACCAGCTGGGAGGACTGCGTTCATGCTGACTTCCTGTTCCATGTCTGGATCATGGGCAGACAGGAGACTGTCAGTAACTGACTCTCAAATGGCTCAGGAAAGAAAATTCTTTGTAACGCACTTGCACTTTTTCCATAAGTTTGAGATTAAAAACAAACCCCAGCACATCAGTACTGCCTTTTCCTCACTGGTAATAGCTGAGTCTTTTCCTCTAGAGGGACAGTCTCCCTCATGTCAGTCCTTCAAAGGAAGCTAAAGCAAACGCCAGGCCCTAGCAAGTGTCAGCACAGTGGCTGCACACCCACCCCAGCCGCTTCTCCAGTTTGCTTATTGACCAACATGCAGAAATGACTATTTCGGCAGCAGGTCACCGAGGCTTGCGGTACCAAGCACTGGGAATGCAGGGGTGAACTGCTTGTGGAACAACGGAATTCCCAGAGCAATTTCTTCCCTGGCTTCCTGCACTGGTGAGCCGGACGGGGACTGCCCTGTCTGCCTGCGGAAAGCCCACTGGCTCTATGGAGCTCTTCCTCGGTGGAACCATTTGAGGTGAACTCTCCCATCACTCCCTCTGCAGCAAGCACATCTTCACTTTTCCAATACAAAATAACGTGTGTACCTTACAGGTAGTAGCTACCAGGGCTGCTGGCCTTACAGCTGCCTCCTCCTCCTGGGGACACAGCACAGAGGTGCCTCCTGACCTCCCTCGCCACTTCAGAGCTCAGGAAAGATGAGAAAGCCATTCCTCCCAGCCATATGTTAATAGTGAAAATGATTCAGCACTAAAAATCTCTTCCGAGGCAGAGCAAGTCTGAAAAATGGACGTGGACATTTCACTCTGCTCACAGCCCTCAGAAAGTAACACCAGAACCAGCCTCGGCCATCACAGCATAAGCAGAGTTGCCGCACAAGCACGCTGGGCCCCTCCTGCAGGCAGGCCCGGGGCTGGCGGGACAGCATGCTCGGCTCTGAGGTAGCTTGGGAGCAGGTTTCCCACAGAGGCTGCCACTGCCCCAGGCAGCCTTCCACACTCCAGTGGCCTCGGCCCTGCTGAAGAGCAGGTTCTGACTCCATATGGTCAGGCCTGAGTTGCTCAGCAGCCCCAGGCATGCTGTCCCTCCAGCTCCAGATGCAGGAGTCGCCTCCAGAGTGAACTAGGAATGACGAGGAACTTTCCACACACTGCATGCAGGCCAGAACACCAAACGTTAACAGCCGCTCTGAAGACAAGCAAAATCTGCACACCAGCCTGGGGAGGACATCCTAGTGCTGACAAACCAAACCTTTATCTCAGAGAGGGCCTGGCACGGCCACCATGACGCCAGCCGAGGGGACACATCACCCTGCGGGGGCCACTGCCAGCTGCACACGGGGAGAGAATGGGCAAGGGCGTGGCCACACCTCAATCATCATTGGTTTAATGACCACGTGGCATGACTCCCTATGTACATATATACACACATGCACATATATAATATGTAAACAGCTTTTGTGTCATCTTCACACCCAAAAAGTGTGTCAGATGCGAGAGGCTGGCAGCCCAGACACATTATTAATATTGAGAAAGAACATTTCAAAAGCTGAGGTCTCTAATGCACACATTCTCCCCTCGTGCCTCCTGGCTCTGCAGGGAGGGCGACTTGGCCTCACAGTCACGGTCCGTTCCCCACGGCTCTCTAATCTTCCAGCAGCAGCTCCAGCTCCTCCAGTGGCAGGCGCACCCGGAGCTCCTTCTCGGTCATCAGATCCAGGACCTCCTGCATCTCCTCGGGGAAGTACTCCACAGCGTCCAGGTACAACACCTAGGGGCAAGCAGGAAGGCCACCCTGCTCAGCCCGCCGCTTCCTGTCAGCCTGGAGGCGCTCGGGAAGAAAGGGCAGGTTCCTCCTGTGGCCTCCACAGCCCACGCTCCCCTCGGCTCAAACTTTTCTAACTCAGGCTGCACTGGGCATGCTCAGGAAGGACACTGAACTCCACAGAGAAAGCGAGCAAACTCCAAGCAAGACCTTCTCTTTCACAAGGCAGGCCAGGACTTGCTGGCCATCACCCTCAGTTTGACTTCTGAGTGTCACCTGACCTGGGCTCTCACAGCTGGGCTGGGACATGATCCCAGCTCTTTCGGCATCTGGGCTGAACTCTAAGCAAACGCTGGGAAACCAGCTACCCACAGCAACACTTGCATAAAGCATTGGCCCCAGGCAGGGCCAGGCTCTGCCTCCACAGGGACATGTCACCAGGAAAAGGCTCTGGATGTACCTTGGGACAGGGTATGGCGTCCATGAGCCGAGCATCCCCAATGCCACGGGGGCAGGCCGGGAAGACACTAGCTGGGCAGAGACCTGGCAGGGAGTCTTCAGGAAGATGAAGACACCATGGCGTTAATACTTACCTTTACCCAAGGACAATTCTGAAGTGCTTTGTAGAATACACCTTTGCTTCTTTCTTTATTTCCTAAGGAAACCTGAGGTGAGGGGAGAAAATACAAAAATGGTTAGCTG